AAACATGAAAATTCGTAAAAACTTTTACTGGATTTTACTGGAAATTAACAAACAAACGCAACTTTTTAAAATATTAGTAGGGTTTCATGCAAATCTGTTCAGTCGTTTCCGCACCCTACTAATAGTTATTATAAATGTGAAAGTTTGTATGTTAGGGAAACCATCACGCAGAAACTACAGAACGGATTTGCATGGAATTTTGTACATAGATAGCTTATGGCTACGGTGACCATCCATCCTTTATTTTAAAGGACAGTCCTTTATTTTAACCCCGTGTCCTTTATAATTTTTTTCAAAATAAAGGACGCCTTTTGTCCTTTATTTCTTAAACTGTCCTTTAAATCAGCTCTGCATTTTGTCAGAGGAAAATTTTTAAACACAGAATATGAAAAATAAAAATATTCCTTACAAAATAGAATGAAAACCTTCGCAGGTTTGTTCGCACCCCTCTTAAGGGTTTTTATTTAATAGGTAATCTTTGCACAACCTATAAAGCACAGGGAAAGTTGTGCCCAGGATCGTGTTACACGCTGAGTTTCCAGTTCCACTGAAAGATAATAATAAACCCCCTGCTGCACAGTGGTTCTAAACTGGCATTTAGTGTTCGTAATTCACTGGAGCCTTATTTTTTTTCACTTAATTTGAAAATTTTTTTTATTAAAGCTTATAATATTTGCAAGAGACCAGTTGAGCCTAATTTGTGAATTTTTATTTGATTATATTAATTTTTTTAGTGCAAAATGCAGAAAAAGTGGCAATTTTGAATAAAAGGTATTATCCTGTTCCAGTTAATAAATATTACATAACAACGACTAGTTAAAAACAATTGTATAGTTCCCCAAAACGAAAAAATTACAAAAAAGTGTTTGAAATGTTACAAAAAAAGGTTCACAAAAATAAATTTATTTTTGGTTTTTAGTAAAAATTGGTTGAAAAATGAGATTGCGGTGAATTATGAACATTAAATTCCAATTTTGAACCACTGTGTGCTGACTTCGGCGTGCAGTATGAATTATGGTAAATGCATTTTGGCAGCAAAGGATGGCGAAGTCTTTGAAAGGGATTTGGCTTCATTTTTCGGAATCGGTTAATTAACCGGTAAATATTTGATTTAAATTACGATATGGGTAAGGTACGTTTATCATACAAATTGTATTTAAGTATTCCCAAATAATTTTGAAAAAAAAAATTTCCTTTATTTTACATTGGTTAATATGGTCACTTGGTTAATATGGTAAGACTTGCCCTTCTACTAAAAAAGTTTAATTAAACTAATACGTGGAAACGACTAAACGGATTTCCATTAAATTTTGACCGCATATAGTTTATGACCTAGATTGGAAAATAGGCAACTTTTTTAAGAGTTGCCACCTGTTTACTACGGATTTTACGAGGATGCTGTTAGACTGAAAGTAATTCCGATAATTCAAGGCCTCCCATACAAATTGGAATTTTCATAATACATACATACATATCTCTGTAAGTATTTGCGGGAGAGAACTGGAACTTGGTATGGAGTTATGTATGTGAAATCAAATTCATACTCACAGAGAAAAATTGACGTTTTTGGAAAAGAGGCGTAGTACCTCCCATACTGACTGAACAAACATTTGGGGTAAAGTACTCATACATACATATGTCGGTATGTATGCGAAACCAATCCCATACTCATGAAGAAGTGGCAACTCCCATGCAAATTTATTTTTCTATGCTGCATATCTCTGGAGGTGTTTATTGCAGAGGACTGGAACTTGACACCGAGATACAAAATTAATTCCATACTCATGGAGACAAAATTTCGTTATTCGAAAAGGAGGCGTGGTACCTCTCGTTCAAATTTGCTTTTTTATACTGCATATCTCTACAGGTGTTCATGGTAAAGTACAGGGACTTGGTACTGGAGTATATGAAATCAGTTCCAAACTCATGGAAGTAAATTGGGGTTATAAGAAAAAGGGGCGTGGTACTTCCCATACAAATTTACTTTTTCGTGCCACATATTCCTGGAAGTGTTTGCGGAAGAATACTGGAACTTGGTATGGAGTTGTGTATACAAAATTTATCAATTGCTCATGGAAAAAATGCTCTCATGATGCACACATGCCTCTGAAGGCATTTTGCTATAGTAATGAGAAGTGGTATTTTATCAAGGCCAGGTTACTAAATTTGAGTTGAAAATATTAGAACCCGCCGTGGCACCTCTCAGAAGGTTACACGTTCACGCGGCGTTTCCCTGGAACATTTTTTCCGTGGTGAGACGAGGTAAACAAATTTACTATGGTGTACAAATAAATTGAATTTTGCTGTGCCAAATGCAAAGTAAAAATTTTGACAGTTCAAAAAAACTAAACGAACACTCGTCCGAAAGCTCTATTTTTGTGTGTTGCTGAAATTGTTCAAATTTATATATATGTATGTATATGCATATATATTGCAACATGCAAGTAGCGTACGCTTTTTTGCTTTTTTTTAGCTTCCATTTTGATTTTCACTCATTATTACCGCCAAACAGTACGGTGTATATATATTTATATGCTGTCAAAATTTTCCTATCCACCACGAGAAATGTAAAATTTTCAGTTTCATCCGTCAAAATTTCCCATTTTCTATCAATTGGCACAGGCTCTTATAAAAGAAACAAGAAAAAATGTCAAAATTTTTACTGTTTGCCCTCCGGGAAAAACTGTTTGCCCTCCGGGAAAAACCCATGAAACCATATTTTTATACAAACTTAAAGCACTACTTTACGACACTACAGCAAAATGTTAAGAAACCTATTTTTGCTATATGGCAAACTCCAAATTGATTTTAGAAAATCTGCAAGGTTTCCCTCAAATTGCAAACTTTTTAATCAGACTCTAAAAAAAATTAATTTTATTATTATAAAGTGCAAGATTGAAAATGCTAAAAATTGCGTTGAGTTTCGGCAATTTTTTCCTTGGCAGTGTAAAGCAGTTCCTTCCATATCAAGATTTTTTCGAACTTATTCTGCAACCTTGCGGAGTGCTGCAAGCTTTTCTTTTTATCACATCAGGATGTAGCGAACAAATGTGGCACGTTACAGAAACCGTTACTTGGGAGTTGCCGATTTTGAAATTTCTCAAGTAAAAGTAAACAACGCCTCAGAAACTTTAGATGTACTAAAACTTGCTGATTCTTTCACAAAAATCGCCGTTTTTTAACATTTTCGATATTAATTCTTTTTAAAAATCATATATTTTGCAGTTTCACAAAATAAAACCACGTTTCCTGTAAAAAAATAGATTACTTAGAAAATTTACTATTTTAAAGTTTGTTTTATCCTCCCATTCGGCTTTGTTTACTTCTATTTGAGAAACTTCATCGTCGCCGGGAATGTGGAATCTTGTATTATATAATTCTTTTTACCATATAGTGTTTAGTGTTTATTTCATTTCATTTCAATTCATTTATTGCGAAAAAACATTGTACAAGAAGATCTACGATCTTTTATAGTACAACAAGTAACAGGAAGTGTCAGAAAAATTAAATAAATAGTAAATCTTAAAACTAAGATTTATAATAAACATAAGAATAACAATAATGAAAATTCTTAGAACTAAGATTTATAATAAATACAAACCTAAAAATAATACAATGATGATCCATATTGGCTGAAAAATATATATTTAGATAGCGAAACATATAATTTTTAGACAATTTTTGGGTACTGTTTATGAATTTGTACAACGATTTTGGGTTGCTGTACCCAAACACGTGAATCGAATCAAAAAACTTTTACACACACTTGTAGACAACAGTTCACGCTTTATTACAAAAATTTAATTTACTAAATCTGTGCACTAATTTAACAATAATGTCAGTTTGAAATATGGTATTTGTTGCAAATTTTTGTTATAATTTTGTATATACATTTTTATATACAAGATATTTTTTTAAAACACCAAAATAGACATCACTGGGGCGGCAGCCCCAGGTTTACCACACAGACGGTAGCCCCAGTTATGTCACACAGAAAGGAGAATTCTACGTAGTAAGCGTTATAATCCCTAAGCGTGGCCGAAGGCCGCCTACGCAAAAAGGTGTTCTCTGCAAAAGGTGTTCAGCCCCCCTTCTTCGGACGCAAGTTTAACTTTGGTTTTTCCTTGCAAAAACGCTAAAATTCCCCTATTTTCAAACAGTTCCCCAGAGGTCTGTGGGAGGGGTAGGGGGGGGGTGACTTTTCATAAAGCGGCGCCAATCCTCTTTCGTTTAGGGGGTATTGTGGGGCCCACACCACCTCCTCCTCCGCCCCCACCCCTAAATCGTTGTACAAATAGCTAAACATTTCTCCAATTTTTTGCTTAAAACGTAAGAAAATTATGTCGAGCAGAAATAAAACTAGGTACTCAAAAACGCTAATATGTTGTAGATATCAGACTTTGTGTGGTGATGCTCAAAAAAGTGGCAGTACGCAACAATGAGGCGAGTCCGATCACTGCCGATAGAATACCATTCACCATAGTCAACAAAAGAAGAAGCATTCACTTCAGCTGATCAGCTGCTAATTGTCAAATTAATTGTTTTTATTTAACCGCGTTAACATTTTTTGTGCATTGATATGAACGCCGAGAAGCAGGACTTTAATGAATTGCTCGACGACATTGTCCTAGCAGAGGAAAAACTTAATCGTGAAGGTTACGAGGAAGGATTGGAAGTAGGACGCTCACAAGGCGAACAAGAAGGCTACCAATTGGGCTACGCGCAAGGTGTACAACTAGGTGTAGAACTAGCTGAAATATATGCCACTGTTGTGGCGCAGCAAACACAAAATCATACAGAAAAAGTCCGACGTTCGCTCCAACAATTGCGAAAAAGCATAGACGACTTTCCACGTGATAATAATCCAGAAGCAGATATAATTGGAACGGTAGAGAGCATACGCAATCAGTACAAACGTGTGCGTGTACTGACCACTGGCAAAGTAGGTAAATTTGGCAATAAAGTGGAAGACGTCGATACAACTCGGCAGGGCAAAAACAAAGATTTATCTTTTTAAATCTTGAGCAATCAGCAAGATGAGCATCGGTCAAATACGCGCACGTTTGGAAGAGATTCTACAATTTATGCAGCCGCATTGGGAGTTTGTCAACTGCCACATGGTTAGTTATTTAACTGAAAAATATTGGCAACGTTACATGCCAGATGAACTGAAAATTGAAGTTCCCGATGTGGAGAGTGTTCAAAGCTGCATTGAAACAGTTTTTTGGAAAAATGCGAACAAAGGTGTGGATACTGACGAATTTAGTGGTTTCAAAAGATTTCTAGGCACATGCGAGCGCCAACGTCTAGATAAATGTGTCGATCTATTAACACCAATGGAAGTTTTATTTAAAGAGCTCGGTTTAGCTGCAGACTTAGAGCAAAATCTAAGCATTAAAGAATTCATGAGTGAAAAGAAAAGACATGAGGTAAGCGGTTTGTAATTTATGTACGTTGTTATGCTTGGCTAATGAAAATGCAAGCATTTATATCTCATTTTAATTTGCAGGTTGAGATAACTGCTACATTAGTTGATCGCTTGATTCAAAGTAGCGTAGCGCATAGAGATACTACTGAAGTTTTCGTTGTCGATGCTGGCGATGGCAAAGGTTACCTATCATCTCGCCTAGCATTGCAGTATGGCCACCGTGTGCTTGGTATAGACTTCCAAGAATTAAACACAGAAAGCGCTCTAGAACGTAACCGAAAGCTTCAGGTAGTATCAAAGCAATCACAAAATATTTAAATTACAAATATATGTCGTCATAGCGCGTTTGGAATGGATTGGTGAAACGTTCAGGGTTACAGCAACAGGGCTTAACGCCCGCGCGACGTGGAAAGAAACCGGCAACTAACGAAAATACTTCGTACAAACCCGTTGAAAGTTTAATTAAACAAGGCGCACTCTACAAAACAACAGCCGCGTTTATCACCCCTGATATAAATATATCTGAATTGCTGAAACAACACTTTCCAGACGCCGCCGATACATCATATATCTGTCTAACTGGTCTACACACCTGCGGCAACTTGGCGCCCACATGCCTACGAGTTTTTCACGAACAAGCGCAGTGCAAACTAATCTGCAATATTGGCTGCTGTTATCACCTCCTGCAAGAAGAATACGCTAAGCCAGATTATTTTGAAAATGAAAAGGTTTCCGCGCTTCAAACCACAACCGGGTTTCCAATGAGCCAATTTCTACGTGACAAGCGCATAGCCCTTGGCCGTAACGCGCGCATGTTAGCCACACAATCGTTAGAACGCGTCACTAGCGAGCGTAGCTCAATGAATATTTCGCTCTATTATCGGGCACTATTAGAAGTATTGATTTGGGAGAGTGCCAGCGATTTAAAACAAAAAGTGCAAGTAGGCAAAATACGAAAGTACACCAATTTTTGCGAGTATATTGAGCTTTGTAGTAAAAAACTTTCTACATCTAATGCCGACTTGCATTGGAGTGCGGAATCTATTGAAAGAGTGCAGCAGCAGTATGCATTTGATGCGCATTATATGCATTTATTCCACTTGATGCGCATGTGTTTTGCACAAGTGCTAGAGAGTCTAATATTGTTAGATCGGCTGTTATATCTCAAAGAATTGGGATATGAGAAAAGTTATTTGCTATCGGTATTTGATGCAGTTATATCACCGCGGCGCTTTGGCATTATCGCGGTGAAGGACGCGGATAGATGACGTCAATAATGTAGGCTACATGCTTGACAACATACCTAAACCCGCAATTGTAAAACACCGGTTGAATGAGCTGCTGAATAAAATTAAAAGCAAACATATACACACTATTAAATACGTTATTAAATAAATCGCTAATTACACACAAGATAATTTGATTGAAAATGTTTTCTTTATGGCGTGTTTATATTTGTAGTAGCGTACGTATAGCAAGACACATTGCATATTAATAATAGCGAAAATAAAGGACATACATATTTTTATTACTTTTAAGAGATTTTAGGTAATTCTGCTAATCAAGCGATTGTTTCTCTGTGTACGTCTACTTGAGATTTGATAACACCTTATTGTTTTATTTATATTGCTAATTTAAGTACAAGTATATATATAAATATAGACCTAATATAAGCACAAACCTGTGGGACTATTGTGTTTAAGTGTTTCGATTGAAGTGCAGATGGAAAGACGGAAAAGAATACAAACGATTTTTTCATAAAATTTGGTAAAGGTAATTACTATGCAACAGTGTAAAGATATAAACATACGGGTATATATGTACATACAATCATAATAATACATACATATCCTAAGCAATTTAAAAATCGAAGAAAGTGCAATTGTGTGTAGTATGTAACCTATGAGCATGTGGACAAATGTTTTCCAAAATGAAATTAATGCATGTTTTTTCGCAAAAAACTTTTCTCAATAAAAAAATTAAAAACTATATGTATTTAAATAGTACATCTGTTAATTGTGAAATGTGAAAATTTAGGCAAATCGAAAAATATAAAATAGACCAATTGAAAAATTAAAAATTTAATCTTTTCCTAGTTAAAGCTTTCAAATGTCTTAAAAAATTAAGTGAAATATACAAATTTAACATATATTAAACAAAATTAAATTCAAATTAATAATAACAATAATAATAGATTGGCGCTTACACATATGTTACTGCTTGGCTGAGAAGCTCGGCCAAAATTTAAATTAAATGAAATAAATTTAAATTAAGTTGACAAAAATAAAATAAAATAAATTTTCACTTAAGTGAAACTAATCAAATAAAATAAATTACAAAGAATTTAAATAGGAAAATTAGAGTTTTCCCGGCAGGAAGACTAGATACTCCCTCTCGAACTTATGTATGTAGTTTAATTTAGAACAAAATGAGTAGCACCGTCAGCAAAAAAAAAAAATATATAAAATCAATACTTAGCCGCTTAAAACATGCGCTTAATTGAGCTAATTATTATTATTTTTTAATTCCGGTTAAAAACCTTGAAATCTTAAAGATGAATATTGAAAATTTTTAGAATTTTCCTAAATTTCGTATAAAGTTTTAAACTTGGATTAGCATATTTATTTATGTACATACATACTTACATATACGAATTTAACGAAAAATATTTATGTAACATGGAAAACATTGTGAATATTTGAGTAGGTGTATATGTATACATCAAAACTGCCGATGTCCAGAGGCGAAATTTTTCTAAATAGATTAAATAAAAAGTATGTGCCTAATTAATGTCGATGAGATTAAAAAACGTATTTAATATTAACGATTTATTCAAAGGTGACAAAGTCCGACCCCAAGCGTAAATCAAATTACTCAAGTCCATTCCAGCAAATCGTATTGCGCTCTGCGAGTGCATATTGTGACATATGCGACGATACCACAAGCCAGTTTGGAAAATATATGACTGATTATTTCGCGAACTAAGGTTTTATAAATATTTGGTATTTATGAAAAGTGATTGTCTTTCCATCCGTTCGTTTGTGCTCACGTGAACTCGAGTAAAAATTGAGATATCGTTGCTTGGCGCGCAATTCCTCGTATCTGCCAAATGCAATACCACGTATAAGGTGGCATTAAAAAATTGTTTTGGTTACTTCACAAATTTAATAGTAAATAATTATTGTAGAAGCTCATACTTAGTAAGTTTAGTTAACAAACCATTCAAATGTTTTGAAGAAAATAAGTTTCTTCGCCCTTTTGCAAAATTTTCGGACTATCTTATACGTGGTATTGCATTTGGCGTATGCGAGGAATCGCGCGCCAAGCGATGATATCTGAACGAAAATTTGTGCGTGTATTTCTTTTAAGCCAAGGGCGGATGGGTATTAAAAATACGCAAAATCAGACAATTACCATGCCTACTTCCCATATAACGGAAGTTGGCCGCACAGTTGTTGGTCGTGGTAAAACATACCAAACCACTGAGAATTAAAAAAATTACACACAACGGCAATTTAGAGAAATACGAAATTTTCGATAAATCAGGAACCACTGAAGTGAGTGTTTTCAAAATTGATGTTTGCAGTAAATCTTTAGCAAGAAATGCATTTTAAACAAATTTTTGGAAAATTGGGGTGACACCGCCTACTTGTATGAACATTACGGTAACTAACCTATCCAATTCAGGACCCTAAAAGGACCAATTTACTGAGAAGAAAATTCTCCCATTTGGAAAAATTTTGATTCCAATTTTGAAAGGTGTCGGTGGGCACATTTTTTCATTAAAAATGTTATAACTATTGAACCGTTTGAGTTGATTACCTAGAACAAAAATGTATATACTCACGGGCTATGAAAGTCGAAAAAAGCAGAAATATGCAGTTTAGGGCTTTATGATTTGAAAATTTGTAGGCTGCGACATCTATTATAGCCGCTATGAGACAGCGCACAAATTTGTTGTGGGTAGTTGGGCGTAGACCTTAACAGTGCTTTTATTAGGGTATTCGATTATTCGCCTTTTTCCAAATCTGGTTTTCGAGTTATTATATTATTATTTTACATAATTTTTATACAGTGAAAATGCTTACCTTGGTATGAAGTCATGACCAAAAAATACAATAAAACTATTAACAGTAAAGATAATAAGAGGGGAAAGGCAAAAGAGGTACAAAGTTTTTTATATAAAAATTAAAATAAATAAAATTAGTGCAAAATTCCCGCTTGGTCTTTGTTTAATACTTTACTGCTTTTTTATGATTATTTCGGTTTTGAGTAGTGCTCTTGCCGCCGTAACCGGTTGCTTAGAGATGCTTACTATTGCTCGGGAGATCCCTGGTTCAATTTCTGGATCCATCAACAGCAAAATAAGTTTTTTTCAAGCAGCTGTCGCCCCTCGGCAGACAATGGCCACTCTCCAAGTGTAATAAAATAGATCACGAACGCGAAGAGAAGTTCGGCCAAACACATAGAAAGCGTTTAAGCGCCAAGCATTCGTTTATTGGAATCTGATATGATATACTGTTCATCCACACATAACCTAGGATATAATTTTGAAACTATTTAGGGGCTTCCCTTGAACTGCAAAACTTTGAATAACCTAAAAGTTTTATTCAGAAGTCAAGATTTGGATTAAATGAAAATAACCAGTTTCTTCGATAAAAAAATCCGGTTTATTCGATATTCGAAAAATCAAGATTTCAAAAAAACGTGCATAGATTTTCAAAAAAAAAAAAAACCGAGTCAATCATTCTATCTTTTATCCAGGTTCACCCCATCAGTGAATGAATTACAACAAACCGCAGGAAAGCTAAATATATTTGGTCCAACAGTCGGAAATTTTAGTCTTCAGGACAACACCTCCGACAACGGGGAGAGGCTCATCGACTTCGCTGCAGCACGGTACATGGAAGTTATGTATATTGTACTACCCTACATCAGAGTCGAAACATCTATAAAAAGCATTTGGTTTAACCCTCGTCAAAGACGAAAAACCCAATCGATAACGTTGTGATATGTCCGCCGAAAGTTCGACGTCGAAAAGCTACCGTCACAGACGACACCCGATAATTTTCGCAATCGAATCTGAATCCTGCTTAAACTAGAAACTTTTCACGATCGGATATAAATGAGAAATGGGAATCGATCCGAGAAAATAGCAATGCTGGTCCCTATTACCTTCGGGCCAAAATTATTTTTCTCGACTCTTCTATGGCAAAGACCTGTGCCTGAAAAACTCTGGCCGAATTCGGTGGTCGAATAGACTCTTCGATTTGGAGATCAGTATGAAAAATCCCCGCCTCTATGAAAGATTTTGTTTATTCTGGCTCGACAAACTTACAAAAAAGCTCTCATTGCCAACTTTCATGGTCAAAAGCCCTTTTGAGAGAAAGCACTCGTATATCATTGGGCTAGCGCAACTCCAATAGTCCCAATGGCCAAGAGAGCAAAGCATTGGTGTACCATTCGATAGATTCGAGGTTTGAGTCCTCGGACAGCGGAATTTTTTGTTTATGTGTATTTTCTCTTTTTAGGTTAAACTTCTTTTAGTTTTTAAATTTTATTGTTTTAAAAAGGAAATACTACATTTTTTTTAATTTCATTTAATTTTTCTTTTTTAACTTAATTTTATGTGTTTATTTTTTTAAGAAAAATTATTTTTTTAGAACTTAATTTATTTTTTAGTTTAATTTTTTCAAATTCAATTTCCTTTTAGTTTTTAGATATTATTTTAAAAAGAAAAATATATTTTATTAAATTTCATTTAACTTTTAAAAACTAATTTGATTTATTTTTTCTCTATTAATTTAACTTTTAAATTTTTTTAAATTTGACGTTCCTTTCCTCTTAGTTTTTATTATTTCAAAGAGAGAAAAAACTTTTTTTTTTTATTTAACTTAATCTGTAGAAATTTTATTGCTAAAAAACCTCATCGTTAGCAGATCACTCAGTAATTCCTTCGAAAGACAGAGAAGAGCTTTCAAGATAGCTGCAAGAATTGACAATTGTCTTACGAAAGACTGATTGTAATAATATGTTTTTTATCTTATCTATTTAATTGAATTAAATTTTCGATTATGTGGAAACTCTTTTAAACAATAATTTCCAAATTAAGCTTTCTTAAGTTGTAATATTTCATTTATTTAATGAATTTAATTAATCGAAAATTTTCAAATACATAGCTGACGAATCTTCTTTTTTATGCTTTATATCATTCGGAGTTTATAGCGAACAAGCCAAAAATATAATTCTTCAAATCGATGAAGTAGTTTTTGAGTTTTCGTACGCCGAACAAACGAACTTAACTTAAAATTTTTATATACATACATATGAAGACATATATGTTTTATTTTTATAATAATAGATTGGCGCTTACACATATGTTAGTGTTTGGCCGAGCTTCTCCTCTAATTTGTGGCGT